GGTTGAGGCGAGGGTGGAGCGCCAGCGGGGGTGGGCTCCTGCAAGTCGGGGTGCGCGCCTGGGTGCTTCTAGCACCAGCGCACCGCCTCACTGAGACACCCCAAACCCCAAACCCTAAACCCTAAACCCCAAACCCTAAACCCTAAACCCTCGGAACTGAACCTTGACCCCTAAACCGGAGGAGACTTACTTTCCAGATCCTCTCGGAAATCTTCAAAAAACTCCAATGGAATGGCGAGGCATGCATAGTGGGGCAGGAGATGCAAGAGCTCCCGCTAAAAACGGAGAAAGCTTTGGGTTTGGCGTCTGGAGTTCAGGATTTAGTGTTTAAGGAATAGGGATTGGGGTTGAATGTTCATGGCTTGGGATTGAGGGCTTTAGATTTGGAGCTTCAGATTTGGTGTCTAAGGTACAGGGTTTAGTTTAAGGTCTATAGGGTTTGGGGTTTGGGAACCGCGCAGGTCCATAATTGATAAATTCGCGGCATACCCCCGAATGATCCCAGTCCACTATGTAAAGGGACGATTGACCGCAAGGCTACGATCCAAATACCAAACTCTGCCCCTGCGATCATGCAAACCCTCAGAACAACTCGAAGTCGAGCATGGGTCATGACGCTTGGGTCAACATGGCCACAACGAAGTCCCTCAACAAACAACGGACTGCTTCCCTCAAACACCAGAAACGATGTGTCCCTGCGACACTCTCCCAAGGTTCCCCCTTAATGAAGGTTACTTAGGGAATCAATCAGGCCTAGTGAAGGGCAATTACGGGGAAACTTGGGGGTCACCTAAGAAGATAAGACTCTCAAGGCTTCTCGTAGAACCCTCGCACAGGGTTGAGGGTTTAGGGCCAAAAATCATGGCGCCCAACCCTAAACCTAAACCCTTAACCCTTAATAACAAGAAGCCTGTCATGGACTGGTCTTAGGTAAACTCCAACAAACCTGGTCAATCACAGTTTCTAGGCTTAGGGTTTAGCGTTGGGTTTAGGGTTTAGGGTTGAAGGTATACCCTAGGCTTCCAAAGGCTGGGTTTAACGGATGCTTCTCGGTTAAGTATGTATTTAACCCAAAGTACCCATTTAACGGGTATATGGCTTCATGTGCTTTTGAAGGAAGCAAGCTTCATTGGGAATTGAAATTCCAGCGTGCAAAGTGCTTCTCACCTGCTTTTCCTTTCGCGCTGCTGTGTCGATACGTTCAGGTCGCTCACCTGTGCTTCTTTTCGCGCTTCTGCGCTGAGGAATTCAGAGCTCCCATTCTTTGGAGCTTCTTCATTGAAAGCAGCCTATACCGCGCCAGCATAATGATATGCCGCTCAAACCTCCTGGAATCCGAACGCTGCGCGCAACCTTAGTCTCAATCAATACTTTCCATTTGTCCTGTGCCCCCTACAGCACGTAGAACTAATTTGAATCCAGGTAGCTCTTCAACCATTTCATCGAATCTTCCTCTCTGAACGTGTGAAAGAAACGTGAGTTCATTCCTTGGCTTTTGCATCTTTCCCCAGGGCAACCTTTAAAAAGAAAGCTTGAAACTCCAAATTACATGTAGGACCAGCAGCTGCGGCGCTTCATATCTTTCAATTGATGGTGCATACCCTTAGTGTTTCCATATCCCACTGCAGGATTCCATAGCATTAATATTATTTCCCAAATAGACAAGGCGCATGTATTTTGGGACGAACCTGCCACCAGAGCTTCAACTGCCTGACAAAGCCCAAACACAACAATCGTTGCAGCATCCCACACAGCCTGCAAAGCAAATTCAATTGATATCCAGGCCTCATTGACAGCTTGCAAAGAAGCACATGATAGCGCAAGTAGCGCATACCGTACGTGTAGATCTCATCAGCAGCTGCTTGGGTCCTAAAAGGTTCTGGCGCTCCATACAGAAAAAACACTCCCTAATCCCCCGATTAAATATTTTCAAACAACCTTCGTTCTAAATAAGGCTGGAAACAAATATCTCCCGTGGCTTTCGACAGAATGGAACCACTTGCACAGGGATCCCCTGAGATGCTTTGGCTGCGTTAACCGAGAATCAATAAAGAAATTGCGACTAGTAGAGAGCTTCATGCAGAAAAACTTAGCAGAAAAACACTTTGAATCTATTTAAGAGATGCTGCATGGCGACAGCTGTAGGGGCCAGCATTTCATCATCATCAAGACCAGGCCAGCCACCATGTTCTTGTAGCCACTTCCCAAAATCGCGGTCAGGAGAAATTCTGTGACTGACTGCTCTGTCCATACAATCTCCCAGCCATAAGGCAATCACTCTGCCATTATACCCTTTGTGAGCCATCTTGGCGCCGCCTTCTTCCTTGTAGACCTTGACTTAGATTAGAGAGTCGGAAACTGGTTTGACTTGTATGGAAGAATATCATGAAATGTACGCAAGGCACAATCCTGCACCAGAAAGCCTGAATCTAATTTTCCAAACTAGGATACCTCCCCTGCTAAGACTGAACAGGAGCCTAGTCACAAAGTTGGGGACAAACTTGGTTTGCGAGCAGGTAATCTTCGACGATTTCAGAAAACATTTGAAATCTTTGTAGGCCACCACCAACAGCTTCGCAAACGACATGGTCTCAGGGTTGCCGAAGAAACCTTTCTCAATCAGGTACATCCTTAGTCATTTAGAGAACAATATATTTCCTCCATTACACTTCGAATCGTCTTCGTTTCTAATTAGTTCGAACCCAAGCCGAAATCTTTTGCTGGCAGCAGATCAAACATGATCCTGTCGCATCCTGACAAACTCCGAGATTTACGTTGTGGAGCGAACAATGCATCAGCATCGAAACGTGAAATCCGTAAAGACCAATCAAAGGACCTTGGCAATCATTTCCTGAAGGCCAAACAGCTAGCAAGTGAACCAACTTTATTGGGATGATTTTGTTACGTGGGTATGTCAAAATATGAAATTGCAATCAGGAGACTGATCCACCTGTCCCCAACCACCATGTTGAGAAACTGTATATGGGTCAGCTCTGTGTTCTCCCAGGATGGGGACTCCTTGAGATCTAAGTACCTGTTCTCGGCGTTTGCGTGATTTTCAGCGTCGCATCGCCAGCAAATGAAGCGCGATTTCCAGAACCGAGTCATTTGGAAAGATTGATATTGAAATTCCCAGTCGCCCCGAATCTCAGTAACCGCGAATTTGTGTGCCATTGGTACTCCGGCTGGGGTTTCACCATTGAAAGCAGCATTCAAGGATTGCACACATGCAAGCAGCAGAGGGTTGTGAGATCTTGCCCCAAGACTCAGGTCTGCGTTTAAACACCAAAGTAGCCAATTGCTCATGCGCGTTGATCTTGGTCTCCACAAAACCAAACTCATCCAAAACCCGCAAACCTTGCTTTGATCATAGCCCTGCCCATACCTAGCTGTGTCCCCATAGAGACTGATGGGAATACGCGAGCCGTCAAAATCAGAGCTTGAAGCCCATGGCATGACAGCCTTGCAGTGTTGCCAGTATTTTTGGAGCACCGAGGGTCGAATTTCCAGCCCCGCTTCATTAAAGAGATATTCCAGAATGAGGTGGGGAAGCAACACCGGAATGTAAGTTTCCACCTCTTCGCTTGAATCTTCTCGTTTACGAACCACGGTCTTCACCATCACCGGCTTCTAGCAGGGTTTGAACTTAAGTCCCAAGGCAGATAACCAGGTGCTAAATTTACAGTTCAATTTAATTCACTAGAGAACTTGGAATGGAAGACGTATTTTGGCGCTCACCACAGGAAGCTTCATCGCAGTAGCAAAGTCGCGGGCATTGTTGAGCCCGCTGTAGGACCCAAGTTTGCGAAGCAGCGCTGGTTTTCCCGAATCCCCGTCCTTAGTTAGAATATTAGAAGCAGAAACTACTGAATGTATGTAGCACCAGAGAAACAGACACCGCTTGCTGCAGGCTTCGGTTCCAATAAGGAGCTTTTGGCAGCTCGCATCTCTTTCCCAATCGAAGATCCCTCAGATCGCGCAAGCTCATCCTACACCCAAATATTGATATGAATGAAACCAGAACATGCCCCAACAAAACTTCCAACTGGAATCGCTACCGTGGCACAGCACCGGCGACATTATCAACCATTTCGTCCACCATGAAGGATTGCTCAGGATCCTGGCTGCCTGCGAGGGAAATTATCTTCCATATTTCCTGGGGTTTGTGAATTTCCAGAACATGTAGCAGGGCACGTCCAAAACGATTGCGTAAAAGTTGTTGTGCGCGCCAGCAGCTGCCTCACGACTAGGCTCTAACTCACAAACAGCCTTCCCCGGCGATGCGAGGGACCTAATCATGTTACTCAGCTTTGTACAGACGAGCAAACATCCATAGGATCGTATCGGTACTTGAGTTCCGCAAGCGGCATAAAGCAGCAATCCTTCTTCAGGACTGCCAAGGAGCAATACCCTAGAGAACAATGCAGAGTACACATCCAGTTTGAGGGCAGAAGCCAGCTTTTCATTTTTGGGGATTTCGGGTTGAAGTACGAAACTGGATGGCTTCCAGCATTGTTGCGAGTCTACTTGTCCAGCTTCTTCTTGGGCTGCTTCACAGAAAGCGTATGCTCAGAGGCATCAATGAGCTCTTGCGCTGCAGCTGTGCTGCGCTCGATGGCATTGTCCTCTCCCCGCATTTTTATATTGAACAATTAATAACAAGGATGAATCTCTAGCAAATTGTATCAACAAACAATCCTCGCCAGAGTCCAGGGCACTCTGCAAACGGGTTCTCCCCAGCGAAAGCTTCTTCACCTTTTGCTCCAAATCGCTCTTCAAGGCCGATTGCAGCTCGCTGCTCCTTACAATGAATAAGCTTCAGCACAAACTATCGTATCGGAATAGAAAAGAGCAATTTTCAAACAGGGAACAATTTCTTGAGGTCATCCGTGTTCAACTTTGTATTGAACTCCTTGATCTTCTTGCTGAGAATATCCCGAGCCTGAAAGAACAGTTACGGGAAACCATGAGGGTAGCAAAGAAATACATAATATTAATAATTATGTAAGGACCTTTCTCGCTTCACAGGCAATCTTGCGCGACTTTTCCTTGTTCTCATCCTCCTCCTTTCCTTTGTTGTCCTTGCCCTTTTTTCCTTTGCTTTTCTTCTTCTTGTTCTTTGCTTTGCTCTTCTCTTTCTTGTCCTTTTTGGAGCCTTTGGAATTCTTCTTGTCCTTCTTGTCATTCTTCTTATCTTTTTTGCTTTTCTTCTTCTTCTTTGCAGAGCTTGAGTCCTGGCATCCACAACAATCTAACAAGATAGGGCATGCATAATTCATTATATTATATATATTCACGTCCTCTGAAGAATCCTCTGAGGAAGACGAATTTTCGTTCGATGTTGCCCCGTTGTCTTGTACCTCGAACATATCCGAAATCTCCACTGCATGCTCATCGACAATTTCGTCATCCACTAGCACAAGGTACTGCTTGACTCCTCAGATCCAATCAGTTGCGAAAGTAAAGAAAGTGACTGAATTGCAAATCCACCAAAATTGAATGAATTGTTATGCCCCTTGTACTTAGATCTAGGCGCCAGGGCATTCGGGATGGTCACGTACTTCTGTCTTTAGCAACTCATCGTCTGTCTCCTTGCGCACGATAATGCCGTCGACGAGCTCCCTGTCATTTTCGAAATGCTTCAGCAATTGCTTGCGTGTAAGCCATTTTCGGCAGCCTTTTGAAGCCTTGCGATCGCTGGATCTAATCTGTTTCAGCACAACTCCCTTGCTCCAGTCCCCTCCGGTGCTCATGTAGTCTTCATAAAGCGTGCTCATCTTGGTTTTGCCTTGGCTCTGGATCGGTTACTTGTATTTTCAAAATATATAGAATGAATGCATAGCCCCAGCCACAAAGAACAAGCGCACATTCCGCATCATATGGGAATAGTAGTTGACTTCTTCACAAATATACTACATAAATGGAACCAGCCTAGGGAAGACGCATAGACACACATTATATACCAGAAACCAAAGCCAAGCACAATGATTTAAGAGAAGCAAAGCAACCGTCAGAAGCAGCGGAACCCGTATCAAACAAATCTTATCAGCACCCCATTTACATGAACATTTGGAGCGTAGGGACAATACTTGACCTTTTTGAAGCACATGAGGATTTCCTTCGGTGTCTCACGACCTGGAATTCTCATTTAGTTGAACTTAGACTTGGGTTCTGATGACAGGGTTCAAAGTTCAAAGGTTTTGTGCTACTGGGGCTCGGGCTGTGGTGGACGTTTCTCCAGAACCTCATGTAGAGCCTGTGCGCTATGACCTTCTTTTGCTTCAAGGTTTCCTTCTCGTTCTCCTCATTCTCATTCTCCTTGTCCTTCTCTTTGTCTTTCTTCGTCTCGTGGTCGGGGTTGGGATTGCCGCGGGGAGCTTCTGACTTTGCTTTCTCGACATTCTTTGTGCGGCTCATCTTGGCCTTGTCTTTGGAGCTCTGAGCTGTGTCATGGTCTTTCCCAGGATCTGAACCCTCCTCGGCTTCAACCTTTGCCTTGGCTTTGCCTTTTGCTTTTGGTGCTGCTTTCGCCTTGCCTTTTGGGCTGGATTTGGCCTTTGCCTTAACTTTTGCCTTTGGCGAGGCTTTCGCTTTCTGTTTTGGTTTCGGGTTGCCGTCCTTCTTGTTGTTGGTTGGCTTGGCTTCGTCTGCGACGCCTGCATCCTCATCGTTCTTTGGATCCGCTTCCTCCTGCTCCTCTGCCGCTTGTTTTTGTTTTTGCTCCTCCAAGTCCTTTGCCAAGTCTTTTTGCATTTCCTTCGCTTTCCCTTTGCGACAACTAGTTGTCAACGCATCCACTGTTTGAGGCCTCTTCAGCACCGAGGGGAGCTGTTGTTTGACTTCACTCAAATCCGTAGAGGAAGCCTTTCGAATAACCCGGTGCGGCGGAGTCTGCAAAATTTGTGTGTCTTCAAACGAAGAGCATGATATGGCCGGTCTATTCTTGCTAGACTGCCATATTGTCTTGCCTGTACCGTCGGGGCTTGCACTTTTCTTCTCTGTAGGGCTTGGGGTTGTCTCAGGCGAAGATGGGTCTCCCCAGACATTCTGAGCATCTTGCGAAGACCTCATGCGCAGCATAAATCTTTAGAGAACATCTATTTAATATTATATTAGACAACGTCATGCTATGGCGCAAACATTCTGCGTGTCTTCTTCGGTGGCTCCTCCTTTGCTCCTGCTTCAGCCCTGGCCTTTCTTTCGTTGGCTTTTGCCAACAGTCTTGAAATGTCTAACACCATGGCCGGCACTCGCTGTGCCACTAATCACAAGTAGACTAGATCTTCAATTGCTGCAGACATGTTGAGATAGAAGCAAGTTTTGCTCCACAACAACTCTTACGCAAACACTTCGTTTCGGATGGTTTTCGGGGAGGGCAAAGTTTCACAGTTTTTTGGGCGCTTTTCACAGTTTTCGGGGTGCTTTCACGGGGTTTTCACGGGGTTTTCAAGGTCTTTTCACGGTGCTCGTTTTTTTTCGATTTCGCGCGAAGTCAAGCGAAATCCACTCGAAAGCTTTGTGCCTGTAGCTGTCACAGCAAGACATGAAAGTTGTCTTTCTGGGCACATCTAATTACCACCATAGTTGCGGTCAAACACAAATTTTGGGTCATAGCGCCCTTCTTTAATTTCCTGCTGCAGGAAATCCCACAGCTCACCCAAGCAGGCGTGCTTCCAATTTGATGGGGCTTTCTTCAGTTTTGGCTCCTGCCACACAGAGCAAGAGTGTTGCGTTAATACTAATAAATGAGTAAGTAGCGTAGACAATTCTAGGCCCAGCACCTTGGCCCTTTCCACAGGCTCCCGTAGAGCATCACCTTCAAGAACCTGGGCACACATGAGGGAGGAGGGCCGGGGAAACTCCCACAAATATGCTTTGCTTCAAGGTTTTGCCTACTTAAGTTCGCTGCCATGTGCCGGATGTGTTTGAAGGCCACCGTTGTTCCAAATTGGACGGGGTACGTTTGCGTCAACTTGAGCATGGGGCCGCCTTGCCTCAGAACAACAAGACCCATTTGTATATATAGGGGCATCATGGTCCTTCAGCTCAACATGATAAACCACTCCTAAGGCCTGAGGACAGCACACTTTGATTTTCCCGGTGCGAGGGTCTTTCTTTTTTTTGGTCACCCCCTTCGAGTTCAGACCCAATCTCTTCTTGTCTTTGCGAGTGAGGGTCTGGTATAGTTCTCCAATCCATCTCCTCAATTACAGAGAGCAGCGAAGATTTTAGCAGATGTTAGAGAGAAAGGGATAAAATGAGAAGGGGGCGAGAGAGAAAGAGCAAGAGAGAGAGAGGGAGACAGAGGTCAGTAGACAGTAGATATGAAGTATTTTAGATTACATACAGAGTCAAAGACAGAACACATTTGCCCATGCAGCACAGCAGGTAAGGCAGGGGCGGCGTTCCCAGAAGCAATGTCAACTTGGGGCTCATATGTCCGTAGTGCCCCATCCAACTGAGCACAGAATGGATATACAAGGTTGCAACAAGGATCACATTCTAGTTTTGTTCATCATGGCAACACAAGCTCAGCCACTCAGCACCCCACAAGCGCACCACACGGAATGGTATGAAACGCGAGAGGCACTCTTCCAGGAACTTCACACATGGAATGTGGCGCACAAGTGACGTTGATGGTTGCTCAATGAAGAAATGGGATGCCCGCATCATTGCCAAAAGGCAAAGGAGCAGCGTTCGTGTAGCCAGCCTCAGATGAAATCTATTAATTTGGAACCACCAAAGCTTTCTTTAGACTACGCAAACTATCTTGAATCGTATTCTTAGCTGGCCACAATCCTTATCCTACATCCTTATTCGCCCGTGACTTCCTACAACATAAGAATAGTAGTTAAAACACAGACGCAAAGCGTACTTGATTGTAAGAGGTGGGGAACATATTTGCCTGGCGAATATATTTGTACTTCGTACTGCCCCATATGCGGGTACGGCTCCTCCCCGATGTTGCCCGATTCAAGAACACCCAAGAGCCGCAGGGAAGGCCTGCGGCTAACAGGCCTCCGTGCTTCAGCCTCAACACTTTCTCAAAGTTGCTCGAATCAGTCCATTCCTTAGCTGAAATTTGAGGAGGGGCTTTTTACACTGGCTGAGAGCGAGCTCAAACTTCCAAGGTGTAAGGCGCCCATACGGATAACAAATCATCTTCGCTCCGCTCGTTTATCTCAAAGAAATCCCTTGCGCAGGACAGGCTTTGTGTATATTCTCCTTTCAAGAGGAAAAGGGCCCCCGCGATTTTGCACCTTCTGAGCCTAGGCGTCTCAGTGTTGAATTCTATACAACACAATGCGAATGTTATATAATATTCTAAACAATATTTTATATTGGATATTTAAATCTTGAAACGAATTCATTCTCACAAGGGTCCAAAAAAACTGAGCAGCGAACTGAAGCCAAGCTCAATACTTCTGCGCCCCGCAAACAGGTCGAAGCAGAACAAGTCCTTGAGAATATGCTCGAATTTAGATTGCAATCTACAACCACATATTATGTTAGGTTTTCTAGTGCTCAAAGTCTGAGAAGCCAACCCGCTTCTCATTGGGGCCCTCAGCATTCTGGGCTATGTAGTCGAGCAAGTGTAGCCTGGACCGTACAAGAATGTTTTTGATAACTCACCTTACCCCGAGGCATTGACCCCACCGTTCCAAAAAAAACAAGTGCAAACAAAAGACATCGCAAGCGGGTATCCACAGTTCCTCAGAGCATAGGAGGTCGCGGTTGAAATCGCAATTTCTTTCAGCATCCACGAAGCCATTGCGCCGAAAGCTGCTGCACACCTACTTGTTGTTTCGGTTTTGCGAAAAACAGCAAGGGATGCCTTCAGAAACTTTGTGGATCGCGTGAGTTCACCAAAATACATTTAACACTCCTTGTTTAGACCAAAACCTTGCGCTTGCGCTTGCTGCCTCAAAATCAAGCACTGCCTGCGCTCTGCAATGAAAACTTGCAAAGATGCTCATGATGTGTTCTCCCCTTTTGCTGGCAACAGCAGACCTCCAAGCCATCCTAGAAAGACGTAGCGACTCCGCATTGGGCCGCCTTTTGGAAAACGAACCGCACAGTGGCCTACGTGTCCCACTCGGCAGCGAGCACTGCATATTTCCACCTGAAACCATAATTTTGCAGGGCCAAGTCCATATCACGCAGATACGATACTATTCAACTGGGCTAGGCACGCGTCGTGGAGACTGTCAAACTTTGCCCAGCCCACCGTCAAGCAGCCCAGCTGGTTCACCTTGCCAAACGAGAATTTCACGTGAGCCAAACGAGATCTAGCAAGCCAGACGAAACTCAGTAGTGGACAGTCAAGAAATCTTCATCAGTTCCCATCCACTTGTTGAGGGCTTTTACAGTCTCCTCCTTTGCGTTGTATACGTAAAACTGGCGATGCACCATCCTCAGCTTCATCTTACTGACTAGCAGCAACAGGATATGGCAGATTTGTAGCACACCCATGTTTCTAAGGCCGAAGCCACACCCCGATGGAGCAAGTCTTGCCGTCCATCCTCAAAGTGTAGCTCCTTAGACAAGGACTTCAAAGTCTAAGCTTGGGATATATAATATTAAGCTGAGATCAAGACTTTCTCTCACCACTTTTGACCTTGGCCCCCACAACCATTCGCTCGTCCAACGCCGCAATGGACTCCAGCAAGCCCACTGTCACTTCCAAGTCCTGACACGATGGATGGCTAGGAAATCATAAATGATGTTGGCCTGGCTCTAAAACTGAAAATCTGGTCCTGAACCTCTTTTCCGGTGCTCTTCTTTTCA